ATGCAAAAAGCCGCACTGCTTGGATCTGCACGCATATTACGAAAATACGTTACGACGTCCTAGGCCTCTGGGTGGGGCCCGACTAGTAACCAATGGCAAATCCAGCGAAACAACTGGCAGCTGTGATACAATTGTATAATAATAATAATAACGACCCTGGAAACTATAGGCCAATCACCTGTTTGCCAACAACATACAAGCTCTTTACTGGTATCATTGCAAACCAAATGTATGGATACTTGGAAAGAAATAACTTGCTTCCTGCAGAACGCCGTTGTGAAAAACCTATCTATGGGCCTTTTCAAATACCTCTTTGCCTCCATAAGGACTAGAACCTTGGGGACCTAGAAAGGTTGGGTGAGAGGGCTTAAGGGCTCTACTCTAGGAAACTGACGGCTGTTTCAACCAATTGCATTCCTACCGGTGAGTGACTCTTCTCCTTATCCCAGGTGATCCCTCCAGGCCAGCCCAGTTGGAAGGATGAGAAATACCGAGGCTGCTTCACCTGTCGTATCTGGCAGTTCGGCCACTGGGTGGAGGTGACCATCGATGATCGGCTGCCCTGCCTGGGGGGCAAGCTCTGTTTCTCCCAGTGCCAGACGGAGGACGTCTTTTGGCTCCCCCTGCTGGAGAAAGCTTATGCCAAGTATGTGATGGGCACGGCCACTTTGGTTACAGGTGGCCCTCGACTTATGATCAGCAAAGACCCCGAAATTTCCATTGTTAAGTTGAGTTTTACCCTATTTTAAAAGGTCACCATTTGTGACCTTTTTCCTTCTTTCTTCTTCTTTCCTTCCTCCCTCCCTCCTCCTTGATACTCTTCCTCCCTCTCCTTCCTTTCTTCTTTCCTCCCTCCCTCCTTCTCTCTCCATTTCTTCCTCATTTCCTTCCTTCTCTCACTCCCTCTCCTTCCTTTTTTCCTTTCTTTCCTTCCCTCTTGTTCCTCCATCCCACTTTCCCTCCATTCCCTTTCTCCCTCCCTCCTTCTCCTTGCTTCGCTTCCTCCCTCTCCTTCCTTTCTTGCTTCTCTTCCTCCCTCTCCTTCCTTTCTTCTTTCCTCCCTCCCTCCTTCTCCCCCCATTCCTTCCTCCTTCCCTCCCTTCTCTCCCTCCCTCCCTCTCATTCCTTTTTTCCTTCCTTTCCTTCCTACCTCTTGTTCCTCCATCCCACTTTCCCTCCATTCCTTTTCTCCCTCCCTCCTTGCTTCTCTCCCTCCCTCTCCTTCCTTTCTTCTTTCCCTCCTTCCTCTTTCCCTCCCTCTTCTCTCCATTCCTTCCTCCTTTCCTTCCTTCTCTCCCTCCCTCCCTCTCCTTCTTTTTTTCCTTCCTTTCCTTCCTCCCTCTTGTTCCGCCATCCCTCGTTCCCTTCTTCCGTCCATTCCTTTCCTTCCTTTTTTTAAAGCCTAGTCTATCTGTATCTTGACTATTCAGCTATAGGTAGTCCTCGATTTATGACCACAATCGAGCCCAAATTTTCTGTTGCTAAGTGAGACGATATTTACATGAATTTCCCTCTGTCCTTGCCATAGTTGTTAAGCGAATCACTGCAGTTGTTAGGTTAGTAACATGGCTGTTAAGTGAATCGGGCTTCCTCGTTGATTTGGTTTGACAGAAGCTGATCATTATAGCCATAACTGGCTTTTTATGATGATTGCACTGTCCCGGAGTCCCATTGTCCCATTTGCGATCTTCTGAAGAGGAAAGTCGGGGAAGTCCGATTCACTTAACAACCACGTCCCTAATTTAAGAACTGCATTGATTCACTTAACAAATGTGTGCGAGGAAAAGCCGTACAACGAAGCAAACTCACTTCACAAATTCCTCCCGTAGCAACATACACGTTGAGCTCAATTGTAGTTGTATGTTGAGGACTAACACAGCTAGTCTTTCTGCTTTCAGGGTTCACAGATCGTACGAGCAGCTCTGGGCAGGCCAGGTGGCCGATGCCCTCGTTGACTTGACCGGAGGCCTTGCGGAACGCTGGTCATTGAAAGACCTGAGTCAAAATCCTGAACGAGAGCGGGCCGGCAAAGTCTTGGAGAAAACGGTGTTCAGACGATTGATGAACCTGAAGGAGAAATGTGTCATGAGCTGCTCTGTCTTCAGTTCACGGCAAGGTAGGGGAAGGGGAGAATCTCACAGAGCCACTTCAGTCTCATTAGATCGCACAGGGTCGGCCTCCTCCGGGTTCCATCCACCAGCCAATGCCATCTGGCTACGACCCGGGGGAGG